CCGGATATCTGATTACCCGCGGGTACCCCGGGTAATCCCCGCCCGGGTACAAACACTATCTGTAAAGAAATATGTAAAATCGTCTTCATCAAGATTCGGCATCGTTTCACCAGTTTTGACTTGAAACTTTACATGTGAACTCTTTGACCTCATCTGCATCAACCTGATTAAGATCACTTTCCATGTTTACTTGTACAAAAACATCGAAATTAATAAAAAATTAAAGTTTCACTCGTTTGCAAATAAAAAAAATCGATAACTTTACGAATACTTATCTCATTTTTTTAGGTTCAGAAAAATGAGCCGAACATTTTTTGTTAACGCGCAGTAATGAATTCTAATAATATTTTTTTTTGTGATAATCAAAAAACAAAAAAAAAATTAAAATTAATTTATTAAAAATCCGTGGTGATGAAAATCGACGATAACTCGAAATTTTATTAGAGAAAAATACAAAATGGTCTTATTAAACTAGCATTTTTTTTTGTGAGATACACATCTTTTATTAGTACGCAGAAGTCGATTAACATAGTAAAGTTTCGAGTAAAACGTGATTTCTCACGTTTCGCGGAACTTTTAAAAGTGATCTGTAAAGAAATATGTAAAATCGTCTTCATCAAAATTCGGCATCGTTTCACCAGTTTTGCTCCATTTGACTTGAAACTTTACATGTGAACTCCTAAATGCATCCCCCTAAGTGCATGACCTCCTTAAATGCATATTAATTTTCTGGTCCAAATATATACTAACCTCCCGTAAATGCATTTATTATTATTATTCTCTAAATGCAAGCTCTCAAAAGTTTGGTCCCGATGATATGCATTTATGGAGGGTTGACTGTACATTGATTAATGTCTTCGCGTTACCACGTGATTGTATTAACCAATAACAATTTCAAAATTAAAGAAAACAAGGGTATATTTTATGTTTTATGTTTAAATTCTGTTAATCATTGACATATTATATTACCAACTAGAAAATTTGAATCTGATATAGGTTCTAAGTAAACAAAGCATTTGTTATGACAACGGAGATAATCTCGGGAACCATTAATTCACAAAATTTATTGGTTTTTCCGTCTAATGTTGCAATGAACTTGTGTTTAAACAGGAAGGATTCTCGCTTTGAACAGTTATTTTTACGATGTATGATTCTGTATTTTGACTTTTGAATTAAATATCCATAATATCGACCCAAATTTAAGTCAATTTAGTTAAAACTATTTCATAAATACATATATATGTAGGGATGTTCGTACATATGTACGTACATCTTTGTTCAACAAACCTTTTTTAATAAAAAGATGAATTTAAGCAATTTTTGAAGTATTCTAATAACAGAGGTTTGCAGGCACAGCTCATAGTCAGCAACTGCTAAGTCCTGAATTGATAGACCAGATCTGCGTTATACAACTTGTCCTGCATAATATTATCGCTATGCAAATTTCGGTGAATAATTCATTGCCTTCAGTCGAAAGCTATATTTGCTCTATGAAGATCATGATGCAAAGAACCCATTGTTGCATATTTTAATTCAAGAATATAATTTACACTCTTGATTTCGATATATCAAAGCATTTAATAAATGAAGGATATTCAACTTCGATTTCACGATATGATTTTAAACTTAATTAAAAAAAGATATTGCCGCATCTTAATATAATAACACTCGATATAAACACATCATATAAGATCCTTGATATAAGCTCATTTTACTTAAAAACAAACCATTATAACATATGGATGAAGATTATTACTCATTCAATCCATTGTGAATCAGGACCCGAATTGTAGGATCAATTCTGGATTTAGTCCAATTCAACAAAAACCACGTAATTTATGTAATATTATCGATAAAAGCATAATTCAACTATCTTCAAGAAAATAATTCGATTAAAAAAAAAGAAAAAAATGGATTCCTATAGGAAAAAAAATTAGAAAAAACGTTAGATTCGTTAAAAAATAAAAAATCAAACAATAAGATTTTTTTGAAAAAGAAAAAAAAAACCAGATGTTTCGCTAAAAAGAAAGAAAAGCCAGAAACAAATTAGATTTTAATTTTCTTGATTTTTCTTTCTAATTTTTTGAAATAAACTTTAAGCACTCCATAGTTCAGGTTAAGCGATGGTTCTTCATACGGATCGATGCTAAAAAATTTTTTAAGAAATTTAATAATTATTAAAGCATACAATCATAATACAATTTTTAAACTTACTTTGCTGGTAAACGGATCTTAATTGAAATACTTCCGGAAAGAAGTTTTTTAACAATTGCTTCCTTATCATATTCTGATTCAATATGATATTTAACAAGTAAGTACACGCCATCGTCTTCTATTGAAATATATGCATCAATTTCATCTTTAGATTGAATTGATGGTACAAATATTTTAACCATATATTGGTCACTTAATATATATATATAAAATATAGTATGTAAATATAATCAATATGTGTAATTAAAGAACATACAAATTTTTTATACATACCTAAGATCGTATAAGTCATACCCATATCCATTTTCTTCTACATTAACGAAAGATAATAACTCTATAGTATTAGATGTTGTAGCGACCTCATTATTATTATGAAATGTTGTAGCGACCTTATCATTATTATTATCAGTTATCAATGTAGTAGGTTCATTGACGAAAGATAATAACTTCATGGTATTAGATGTTGTAGCGACCTCGTTATTGACGAAAGATAATGACTCCATGGTATTAGATGTTGTAGATAAGTTTGTTTCACTATCTTCTGTTTGTTTTCCAAGTGCAAAGTAGTAACGTTTTCCACGTGGTCCTACAATAGGTTTTTGTTTCTTTTGAAGAAGCTGATAAAATCGTCTTGCTTCATCAGCGCTTTTAAAATGAAGGTGACCCCAGCTAGAATTTATTAAAAAATTTTTTTAATAATATACTTTAGGTGATGTCATTGTGATATACTTATTACTAATCAATAGAGCGAATATTGGAGTGTGACTTTTTTTAAGTCCCTAAATTCAATTATATTTGAGCTTTAAATACCAGATGTTTGATAAGTTCCTAAACTGGGCCCTTTTTTTAAATCACTAAATAATAAAAATTAATACTAGCGAAGGTATAAAAAAGATACTGTTTAGGAACTTATCAAACACCCGGTACAAGTTCAAATTTTACGAATATACAATATTTAAAAATAAATAATGCAAAGGGTGATAGTTTGGGAGTATTTAGAATTGGGAACCGAAACCAAAACTATCAGTTTAGGTTAGAAACATAAATCCTAAACTATATCCTAAACTCTAAACTAAACTTGTAGTTTCGGGTTTCGGTTCCCAAAAATCCGCTGTATTATTACATACTTTTGATTAGGTCGACGCTTAATATGAGCAATGTTTACATTAGAAAAACTCGCCTCTGCCCATGTTTTTATTTCGTTATCTTCAACATTTGAAATGTCTTCTTTGCGATCGCCCATAAAATAAACCGAGAACCTTTCTGAAGTGCAGCATTCTTGGACTAGTAAGTTAAAAAAAAAAAAAATAATCAAAAAAATAATCAGTTTGACAAAAAACCGGTAAATAGTAGTAGACAATAATAATAAATAAATAAATAAATAAATAAATAAAACTTTGAAAAAGGCGCAAGATAACTTCCGAAAACCAGCAAATGTTAGTAGACGAAAGTTAGAAATAAAAAATTTTTTTCAAAAAAGCGAAAGAAACTTCCGAAAACCAGCAAATGGTAGTAGACGAAAGTTAGAAAAAACAATATCTTTCGAAAAAGGTGAAAGATAACTTCCGAAAACCAGCAAATGGTAGTAGACGAAAGTTAGAAAAAAACAAATTTTTCAAAAAAGCAAAAGATAACTTCCGAAAACCAGCAAATGGTAGTAGACGAAAGTTAGAAAAAAAAATTTTTTGAAAAAGGCGAAAGATAACTTCCGAAAACCAGCAAATGGTAGTAGACGAAAGTTAGAAAAAAACCAAATTTTTCAAAAAAGCAAAAGATAACTTCCGAAAACCAGCAAATGGTAGTAAACGAAAGTTAGAAAAAAAATCTTTCGAAGAAGGCAGAAGATAACTTCCGAAAACCAACAAATGGTAGTAGACGAAAGTTAAAAAAAAAATTTTTCGAAAAAGGCGAAAGATAACCAGTAAACGAAGTAAAAAAGTTGATCGAAGAGGGAAAAAAACAAAAAAGGGTTTACTATTTACCATACTTGTTAGGTGACATTGTAAAAAAGATGTTTAATTTAGAGTTTCTCAAAATAACCAGTTCATTAAATATTAATTGCTCAATATGCATCGATTTAGTTCACACCCCAAAACAACGCGTGTACTTATTTTGGTAGTAATGTGATCCGTCCAAATCCGGATTATCCGGATTACACAAAATCAAATCCTTATCGTTATCTGTACGGATTGATCTGCGGTTCGCATATTCATGAACGGATGATCGACGATTCGCAGATTGAACGGATTGAACGGATTGGACGGATAGGATCATCTGATTGGCTAATAAAATCAATTTTGTTATTTATACAATTTAATAGCTGCGCGATGTAGTCATGCTAGAAACCTAGCATCTCATTAATATATTGTGAAACATTTAATATTGGGGTGTTGCACATCATATGATTAACTATCATAGTGCAGCGCTACACTATGTAAGATTTTTCAATTTTTGTCGATCATTTTATTATAAAAAATTCGTCATAGTAATTTATTATAAAAACCACGTATCTTTAAGACGTTCTAACTTCTGTTCTAGAAAAGCAAATTCAATTCTGTAACTTGCAAGTGATATTAGAATAGTGTAGTTTTAAA